CAATTCTATTTTTGTATCCCTACCCCTTCCCCATGGGCCTTAAAACCGAGTGTGAATGGGAAAGGCTTTAAAATGTACTCCTAAGAATTGAGACAGCACTACAGCACCTGCACATGTCATCATATGTCATCACAAGCTCTTGCTTCATATGAGATCAGACGATCGCGACTGCTGCAGTTATTCTAGCTGCTTTATTTTTTTTAGTATTTCTCTTTCGGAAATGACTGAAGGCATATATTATGTTATCATAATGATCTAATGTGACAATAAGATTGTATCACTGTGCATTTAACACAGTGGCCATATTCATCAATGTACGCAATAAAAACAACATTAACATTATAGCAGACACCGTAAAAAGCCCATTCCCAGACACTAGACTTTTCTGACAGGGTATTCTAGTGTCACATAGTGTCAGAATGTTGTGGGACTGCTGTACAAGAGTTACGATTATGGATTATAAATCGCAAAATTTAGCAGTTTTTATTTTAAGCACTTTTTTTTTAAAGCATGACAGTAAAACACAAACACTGTTATGAATTTATTAAAACATGTTTGTTTGTTGTAGAAATTTGTAATAATGGCAAAATATATACTAATTTGTGGCTCTCCTTAGTTCCAGGTGTGACTATACTGTCGTTGTGGCTGGTGTATTCTGGGAAATTTTCTTACCCCTTTGGTCTCGAGTGTGGTCCTGAAAAATCTTTGTTTGAAGGGCTTTTCACTCCTATTCATCGCCTTTTGTTTATGTTTGGAAAGCTGCACACTTGAAGAGTTGCCATGTGCACTTAATATAAGCAACACTTAATAATCATCTTTGGGTTTAAGTTGATGGATTTTAATGAGGTATAGTAGGAAGGTGCAGATCACTCCATGTTGGTGTTTGGCTTATTTCCTTAGCTAAAGTGTCGGGGATTAGGTTTAGTATGGCCTTGTTCTTATATGCTGTTATTTATAGAAATATTGGCAACAGTATTAAGTCAAGTCATACCTTGTTCCATGTAATTTCTAACATTGTGCACATAGGAAAGAAAGAGTGACATCTTTGATAAGCATTTAAACATGCCATTAAGAACTTAAGATTTGCTATAGTTTGCATATGTGGTCAGTTTAATTTGCTGAAGGGGGATCGCAAAAGAACATTCATTCATTCATTCATTTTCTTGCCACAGAGGAATGAACTGCCAACTATTCCATACTCCAATTCCATATTCCAATCTATTCCACTATTCCAATTATTCCATATGTTTTACACAGCGGATGCCCTTTAACCCACAAGCCAGTACTGGGAAACACCCATATATGCTCATTCACACATACTCTCACATACGGCCAAATTAGTTTTCTCGATTCACTTATAGTGCATGTCTTTTGGTGTACCGGGAGGAAACCCAGGCAAACCCGGGAAAAACAAGTAAACTCCATACAAAAATACTAACCGGCCCAGCCGGGACTCAAACCAGTGACCTTCTTGTTAGTGCTAACCACTGAGCCACCGTGCCACTCCTCACAAAAGAACAGTGTGAAAAACAACAACAAAAAACAAACAAGAGATAGGTTATTATTTCTTTAATTTTCTTTTGGCCTAGTGCCTTATTTATCAGGAGTCACCATAGCAGAATGAACCGCCAACTGTTCCAGCATAATTCCAAATATTAGCCAGACATTTAATTTGCGAAGCCTTATTATTTTTCATGTGTGCTGCTTTTGATAGATTGTATTGATCATAATAGAAATGAGCTGCTGCATCTTTTAACTTGGGTTCTGTCTGTAGATCGTTCACAGATCTTCACAATCCTATTTGCATTTCTTATAGGATCACACTTTCATGCTAATTGTCCCTGTTTGATAAACCTGGCTCTTTTACATGACAATTACTTGCACACGTCTACTCAAAACCAAATGTTTCATTAGTATCAGTATTCAGAATATGAAATTACGGTAATTCATTTTAAGCTCCTCCTGGGAATTTTCACCTTCTGATTGGAGTCAAAATATGTTTGTGAAGTGATAAGAAGTTAGTGTTACCTGAGCCTGAATGATTAAAAGTGGGTTTTGGTTATCCTCACCTTTCTTTAGAAAAAAACACACTGTCATTTTTTCATCATGAAATATTTAATTTTCCATTTATCACTTCAGTGAGCTCGATTTGGATATTTGCAATTTAACTCTGAAAGACCTTCCAGCCTGGCATCTTGTTATAGCAGCTCATGCAGTATGGAGCATGGGCCGAGGGGAATGAAACTGGGACGTGGAGGTTGGGGAGCTGTAAGAGATGATGATTGCTTGTGGTCTGTGCCGAAGGGATGAGAGGAAACAGAACATTTCCAAAATGCAATCGCATATCTGCAAGTGGTATTAGATTCATTGTCATTATATACAGAGCAGTGCAAGAAGTCTTTCATCAGAGACTGTATTTTGGGATTTGGAGAATGTGGCCTGTGATGTGCACCTGAAAACCTAGAAGTATACCTTACAGTTATTTGTGGAGGCAGGTGTATTAAATGTCATGCAAACTATTCCACACATATGAGTGCACAAATAGTGTGAAAAAAGATGAGTCTCACAGGAGGTTGTTCAAAGGCTGTGAAAAACAAAGTGTTCATAAAATTTTAATTGCTTTTACTTTCATCATACATGTGGAAATCCAGAGAAATGGTGATGAGCTCATCTAAAAACGTCACTTGTTTTTAGAAAGTGAGAGGGACCTGTCCATGGTCCTGAAAGCAATGCATCCTACATCAAAGAAGTGGTCAATACGTCAGATGCAGAGTATTTGAGTGGCCGGTACTTGTAGTCGGGAGCAGTGGAACTCCAGTGGGGCTCACAGCAATTAGAGGGAATGCATATGTAGCACTCATCAAATACACTCTATATTTAGCCTATAAGAAGTGTAACAAACGCTACAATTTAGAGGTTTTTGAATTAGTATAAAATATTCATTCATTTATGATCGCCTCTTCTCATTTATTAAGTCATTGCACTTAAGAGAGGAAATGAACTAGAATATCATATCTGCTAGAGCTGTTCCTTCATAATTTGAATCTTGGATAAAAAAAAAATCTGAAGCTGTTAATTTGAAACTGGTGCGTGCTTGCTGATTTTCTTTCTTTCTTTCTTTCTTTCTTTCTTTCTTTTTTTCTTTCTTTCTGTCTTTCTTTCTTTCTGTCTTTCTTTCTTCTATCTACAGTATATATTAAGAGTGTAAAAATACATGTTGAATGTCATTAACAAGAATATCATGGATATGTTTTGTATTGTGGTTTCAGTTTCTGAATTAAAAAAATTCTAAATAGTTTAATTGCATTCATTCATCCATCCATTAGCAGCATCAAATGCCAATTAAAGCATATTTTTACACAGATAATGCATTTCCAGCCTCAACCCAGTACTGGGAAATACCTACTCTCACATTCACACATTCACTCATACACTACCTGACAAAAGTCTTGACGCCTATCCAAGTTTTAGGAACAGCAAATAATATCTTGACTTCTGGTGGATCATTTGGTATCAGAAGTGGCTTATATGAAAGGCAAAAGGCTCTAAATTACACTTATTTTACCAAAGTAAGATATAATTATGCCTTGATTTGGAATTATTTATTTAGGACAGTAAGGTGTGACTTTGACAAAAGTCGTGTCACAACAGAATTAGTGCGGATTATAAAGTCATGGTGCAGTGGGAAAATAATGAATATTGTGTATGACTCCTATGAGCTTGGAAGACTGCATCCATACATCTCTGCAATGACTCAAATAACTTAATAATAAAGTCACCTGGAAGGTAAAAGAAAGCATTCTTGCAGGACTCCCAGAGTTTATCAAGATTACTTGGATTCATCTTCAATGCCTCCTCCTTCATCTTACCCCAGACATGCTCGATAATGTTCATGTCTGGTGACTAGCATGGGACACCTTGACCATTTTTGCTTTCAGGAACTTTAACGTAGAAGCTGAAATATGAGAAGAAGTGTTATCCTGCTGAAGAATTTGCCCTCTCCTGAGGTTTGTAATGTGATTGGCAGCACAAATGTCTTGATGCCTCAGGCTGTTGATGTTGCCATCCACTCTGCAGATTTCTTGCACATCCCCATACTGAATGTAAACCCAAACCATAATTTTTCCTTCACCAAGCTTGACTGATTTCTATCAGAATCTTGGGTCCATGCAGGATCCAATAGGTCTTCTGCAGTTATTTGTGATGATTGGGATAAAGCCCAACAGATGATTAATCAGTAAAATCTACCTATAATCTAACTAGAAGTTATTATTCAAATTATTATTTGATGCTCTTAACTTGGATCAACGACAAGACTTTTGACAGGTAGTGTCCAGCCAAGTCAGCTTATTCAATTCACCTATTGAGCATGTCTTTGGACTGTGAGGGAAACCGAAGTACCTGAAGGAAACCCACAAGTACACAAGGAGAACATGCAAACTCCACAGAGAAATGACAACTGGCCCAGCCAGTTGTGACCAGTGACCTTCTTGCTGTGAGGCAACAGTCCCACTGAGCGACCATGCCACCATGGTTTAATTTGTCTAAATGAATTTAAAATGCAGATATTTTGGAAAACAGTTGTGCTTGTAATTTTAAAAAATACTATATTTTTACTGTATTTAATAACGCATTAGTAAATTTTAAATACTACAACGTATTTAAACGAATCTAAAAACGTTTAGAAGTATTTTTATTGGTGGTACTTTTATTAAATAACTAATGTAATTAGTCAACAAACTGTACATTATTTTAAAGTGCTACTAACAAAATCTGCTAATATGCTACTAAAAATGCCTGTAGCCAAAACAAACAAAAACAATTAAGAATGTGGCACGTGCAACTGATGCGCCTTTATTCCTGAGCCTGTATTCATGTCTCGTTATTAGTCGCCGCTGTGACAGCTGCGTTGCTCCTGTATGTTAGTAAAGGTATCAACTCACAGAAAGGCGCGCGACTCGAGGGAGGAGAGAGAGAGAGGAGAGAGAGAGAGAGAGAGAAGGAAAGAGAGAGAGATAAATCTGCATTATTCCTCCAGAAGCGGGACTGAGGCAGGAGTCCGCGATAGAGGAACCACCTGCAGACCGCAGCCGCTCTCATTCTCAGCAACGCCTCAATATGTTACGGATTTGACTCATACTGTAAACGACAGATTATTTCCTTCACACAGTGGCTGAACACACACTGTCGAGGAGATGCAACAGTTGAAGAATTTATCGATTTGTCTCATAGCCCTCTTATTAGGGATGACAACTGGAGGCTCTCCAAGTGTTCAAATCGGTACGCGCGTCATTCATTTAATTTTTTAGTTTTGTTAAACTAGCGTTTGTAATAGACGTGAACTAAGAATTCATAAGCTGTATTTGTGTGTGTCGTACAGGAGGCTTGTTTCCGAGGGGAGCCGATCAGGAGTACAGCGCGTTTCGGATCGGAATGGTTCAGTTCGGAACGGCTGAATTTAGACTGACGCCTCACATCGATAATCTGGAAGTAGCAAACAGTTTCGCTGTAACTAACTGCTGTAAGTTGTCTTGTTTTTCTACATCAAATGCATGTGATCGCTTTTTTGGTTTTTGAACAAAGGCAGAATTTGGCTATTGAGAATGAGTGGTTTGTGTGCTGAAGTTTGAGTGCGGCTTATGGTAGGAATTTGTGTATAGCTGGATGTGAAGTTGGTTTCCACAGTAACGGAGACGAGGACGAGCTCCCATCATCGGAAGCTGCTTAACCATCCTATTGTCTTCGGGTCATTCCCTTATTTTTACCAAAGTAAACGCTATGGATTTGTGTGTTTTTTTGTTCTCGAACAGAGCTTTATTAAATAATATTTTTTACCTTTTAAAACATAACCATTTAAAATAAAATCACAACACGGTACTAGTTGTATGATCTTACCCAAGATTTTCAACCGTCTATCACCTTTTACCTTTGGCCTTGTCAGCATGTTGTGCGTATATATATATTATTTTATACTTTTATATTTTAAGTTATTATCTGGGACAATAGGTTCATGTGTATTCGTTCTACTAAAACCCCAATGTTTTTTGTCTAAACACCTGTGGACTTCAGTAATTGTTAAGCGTAGGTGGAAACAAATGGATTTGTCATGAAAGACGCACAAATTGATCATTGCTGGCTACTGAGGTCACATATTTCCTGTAAACTGTATATTTTACATACAACTATATTATAATAATATAATGAGAAGTGCATATTTCGCCCCAGTTATTCACCTTTTCTGTGAGAAGAATAAATTAATTAATGACGTAAAAAAATGATTGTCTTTTTAAATTTTATATATATAACGATCATATGGATATAGATACATTTTAAAGCTAGGCTTTCTGATGTTTTTAATATGGGTAGCCTGTTGAGCTAAAAATAATCAGAGGAGTTTAAAAAAAATTGATGATGATAGAGCGCTCACATTTTCTGACCATCACTGCATTAGATTTAATCAGCTCAGAACTTTATGAGATGATCGTGAATAAATGAAGCCTTTATTAAGTGGATCACTTATATTCAAGGATTTCATTTGGTATGCAGTGGGCTGTTGCTAAGCAATATTGCGAAAAGGATTATTATTTAAGAAACTCTCTTCATGAGGTTTAGTAAACGTTTTTTAATGATCTTTACCAAAAAGACTGTACTGTATATATAAATCATTTGCGGGACATCATTCTATAAAATGATGGGCACAAATTATTTCATTATCTTCTCAAAAATCTTTTTTTTTAGAATTACTTATTTACATTGTGCACTTATAATTAAGTATAATTCTTCAATGCATAATGGATAAATAAGTGAAAAATAAATAATTGTTTAAAAAAATTAAAACGTTCAGATAACGTTAGTCTAGTATTGACAGCCTGTAAGATGTGCATGAGCTTGATCTCACAAAACATGATCATTTTGTCATTTAGCCTGATCAGTATTTTCTATAGTTTTTTATCTTCACTGTCTAATTCCCATTTTATTCCCCAAGATGAGTGTTGTGTGTTAACAATAGGTCTTCCAGGCATCATTTATTTTATTTCTCCTACATAAAAACCCCTAGATGGCACTATGCATTTGCAGGCTTTATTGTTTCCATCTTTCTCATACAGTTAAGTGTGTCCTCTTAAAAGCAGCTGGAGAAAATGTGTCCATTAGTCATGTTTCATCTGGACCACAACTAGGTTTCATTTAGACACACATTCTGGGATGAGTGGATGTATAAGTGGAAGTATGTGTTTTACTTGACATGAAACATGTGAAGAACACATGATCCATTATGAATCACAGGATTCTGCTCTCTGATATACTGTACAGATGACTTCATGAGGTCTTGTTGGTTCGGAAAACATTTGCTCTCTAAAGCTGACATTTGCTCTGTGTTGTTGGTTGGGCATGAGTCAGAATGATCTTGTCACTGATATATGACAGCTCCAGAGCAGATATAGGGAATGGTTTAGTCTTAAATGGCTCTCATGAGATAAACAACAAGACATGCCACCTTGGTATGAGATGCAGCTAATGAGGCTTTTCTTCTTTGAAGCTATATTGCTTTTAGCAAGATGTTGTGTGTTTTCCCAGCACTCATTCTCATAAACTGAAAAGCAGAAAAACATAGTAAGGATGTCATTGTATACCTCTGTTTTGAAGTCACTCTTCAGTGTATTTTTGGTAGACAAGGTCACAAAACTACTGTAGTTGTGTGTGTTTAATTAAATTCAATTATAATTCCAATTTATAATTATTATTAATTATTATAATTATTCATTACTATAACTTGTGCATATTAAAGATTACAGCCAAGTCCAAAGTGTTATTCCACATTGATATACAACTGCTAACAGTGATAGTATGTGACATTAGCTATGTTTCCATCCAAAAACGCGAATTAACTTTATGCGCAAAACTGGATTATCGCATAAAAGACATGTGAATAAAGCAGCATTTCCATCCAACGAGTCAACATCAACAAAGTCGTCACTTTCTGATTATCTGTCGCCAAATATCAACAGTACAAATGGAATTTGCTGCGGTAGGAGAAGCTGCGAGAATCTTTTCTTCATTTAAAAAATGACTTGCACCTCAGAAGGAAATCCAAACATGCAGTGAACACGCGATAAGCGGAGCACAGACACTCTTGATTCTGCAGATTATTAATAATATAATAACACTAAGGGCCCTATCATACACCCGGCGCAATGTGGCGCAAGACGTCAGCTGGATACAAGAGTCGTTGTGACGTTTTGCACCACACTGTTTGAATAGCAAATGCATTTGCGCTCATATGTGCGCCCAGAGGCTTCTGGTCTAAAAAAGGAGGCGTGTTGAGGCGCATTGCTGGCGCATTGCTATTTTGAGGAACTATAATAGAGTTTAATAGACCTAATCAAAGCAGGTCTAAAGTCAAGCGCAGAGCGCATTAGTTGTGCACCTCACTTAAACGTTGCTTAATACACACAGGATGTAAAGCAATACGCAAATATCTTAACAAATGAAAAATAATTAAAGGATTAAAATATTACAAAAATGATTATTTTCTAGCCTACATAAATATAAAGAAACACCGCCTCCATGCCTTCTTCATCTCGGGGGGCTTTTTACAGTTTATTCATGACAATTTGCTTTTGTATAATGTTATCATTATTAGCAGTATTATTTATTATATGCATATTTATATTTGTTTTATTAAAAACAAGCTTAAATTTGTCCACCTGTCAGGTTTTGGACCATGGGGCATGTGTATGGATAGAACTAATTTGGATATTTTTTTGACCACACTTTATTTATTCATTTGCAGGAAATTAGAACTGAATTTAGAAATATTTTTTAAACAAATCTTTACGTTTAATAAACGAAATTAATTATGTATAGGGTAATGGATGTCTGAGCGTACAACCCGTTTCCCTATCTCTCTAGTGAAGCATTCAGTTTTTCCACTTACAAAGTACGCCATGTAAATAGCAAATGCGCTATGGCGCAACACAACTGACTCTTAAAGGGAAAGGGAAATGAGACTCTGAATGGTTTATTCTCAAAACACACGTATAACTCATTAAGAGAATAAGCTGAACCCTGTTAGACCATGCACCATGGTGCAAAAGCAGATTTTTCCATCCTTAAAATAGCAAAAGTGGTTTCGGACACACCCTTAATGGTTTTGCGCCCTGCACTTTGTGCCTGGATTGTCAAATAGAGCCCTAATACTGAGATGGTTAAGGTGTTTTAGAATGACCAAAACAACATTTCAGATGTTTTACAATGTGCTCAGCCTTCTGGTTTGTCCACTCACACACGTTTATCATCACATGACCTTTTTAATGTGCATAGTGGACTTTGTTCGGTAAAAGTCTTTTTTTTCATAATTTATGCACATCTTCCCTTTTTGAATAAAAAAATGTATCCTACTCAGTTATGTGCATTTTCAAAATTTAAACATATCTTGGCGTTTTTATCAACTGTTTTTTATAAGCATTTCCAAAATGCACATAATAATAGGTAAATGGAAACATATTGTTTACAAACTCCACAGTTCATAATCTTTTCACAGTTGACTGACAGACTGACAGATATCATGCTCATTCATCTTTATTTTGTGCTATAACTAGTAGTAAAGAAGAACCATCAAGGAAAACTGAGTTGTACAACCTACATTTTTTTTAACTAAAGTTTTATTCATACATTAAATGAAACAGCATAAACAAAAACATTTGATATTGTTTCTGATATATTTTTGCATTGCTGTGCTTTATTTAACCAAAAAAACCTGTGCTGAATTTTTTGATGCAAAAGTGCATACATTTACACTCCTGACTGATGCATTATTCTTGTATACAGCTTGATTGTTTGTCATATTGCAGTTTTGAATTGATACATTAAAATATTATTAAAAATGGCAGATCTTGATTTGACCAACATAGCTATTTAGAAACCTTTCTCAAGAAACAAAAAATAAATTAAAAAGACAAGTAGGCTTGATTGGATTATAAAACACCAAGGCTTTTAAACATTAAAGTTTATGTTTAAACAGGGCCTCACAATCTAATTTAGTGGATTTATGATTCATATTTATATGCATATATTTCAATTACGAAAGCAGTTCAGCGTTCCTTAGGGCCCCATATATCAGGAAGACATACCTGGAGCATATTTGCTGACATTATACAAAATATAGCAATCTAGTGGCAGATCAATGCTTTTAAATCTCCTTGTCATTTCAAAAAGTATAAATGATCAAATGAATGGGATGAAAAGTAAAGCATTACTGTAGTTATTTGCATCTCACGATATAAAACATAAGCAAATGTTATGTATTAGTCACACAGATCTGTATCCTGATGCAGTATATATTCTGATTGAACAGCTTGGATATAAACTTAAGTTTTTCCCAGACTAATTAATGTGAAATCAAATTTGTGCGTTCCATGAGTCATTTTTTTCTGAGTAAGTTTTCAAAATGCATGTAAGCTAACAAAATTTCGAAACATTGATTGATATTTAATGTGGTTTTATAAGTACTTTCTGTGCTGG